ACGAGTTTATGATTTTTAAGGCTGCATGTTAAATAAAGTACTGTGATATTGATGACAAAGGTCAACTGATACTCAATTCATCTTGACAATCCATGATATTAGTAAGGAATTCAACAACAACAACCCGGTCGACGTTGCATTGCTCGATTTCACTGAAGCATTCGATAAGGTTCCCCACCGTCGTCTATTAGCGAAGCTGCATTATTATGGTCTAGGGGGAGAAATTACCACTTGTGTGGAAAATTTCCCAAAGGCTCGCACCCAATGTGTCGTTGTCAATGGGCATTTCTCACTCCCTGCATTGGCAACGTCTGGAGTGCCACAGGGGACTATGACGGGACCTCTTTGGTTCTTATTGTACATCAATGATATGCCAAACAACATCACCTCCAAGACCAGACTATTTGCAGATGGCTGCATCCTCTACACACCAGTGTCAGCAGACCGAGGTAGGGGCCTACAAGTGCGCTTCAGCATGATCTGCAATCACTAGCAGGCTGGCAAGACATCTGGATGATGGACTTTAATCCCAATAAGTGGGAAGAGGAACCCACCTCAACACTCTTACATCTTTTGTAGCCGCAAGCTGGATTGTGTGGCATCCCACCCATATCTCGAAGTACATATCTCTAACACTCTAAGTTGGAATGTACACACCCAAGAAGTCGTCTCCAAAGCCCAAAGGGTTCAAAATGTCATAAGAAGAAATCTTTGGAGCTGCGACATGAAAGTGAAGGCAACTGTATATTCGACACTAGTGAGACCTCTGCTTAAGTATGCAACGGCTGCGTGGGATCCCTATACTAAAACCAATATACAATCATTGGAGAGAGTCCAACGGCAGGCTGCCAGATTTTGTAGCAACAACTACAGTAGGGTCGAGGGCTCTATAACCAGTGCCCTAAATAAGCTGGGTTGGGAAACTCTCTAGTCAAGAAGGAGAAACCAGAGACTTTGTATGCTCTACAAGATGAAATACGGATTGGTTGACGTATAACCTAGATGAGTTCGTCCAGCCTAACACGAGGAAAACTAGGGGAAATGACGAAAAAATTCTACAAATTCGTCATAAGTCTAAAGCATTCCAGGACTCATGTTTTTGTTTCCACTATAAAAGACTGGAACAATCTACTCGCTTTCGTTGTACATAGTTCTTCACTGGATGTATTCAAATCCAAGCTAAAGCAGCACCGCTAAAATGATTTGGTCTAGTCATTCCACACGCAGTGCGCTTCTCAGAAGTTAGCGTGGATATGTTTTGGAGGACATTTTGCTGACCAAACCATTCGGATTCAGAAAACGTAATGATATTAGAAGCCACTTATACCTGTTGTAGTTTGTACTGTGGTGCTCTCTGTTGCAGTTGTTTCAGGCGCAGTAGTCATGACCGTCGTTGTAAACACCTCAGTGGTTGTTGGCCGAGGCGTGGTTGTTGTAGGAACCTCTGTTGACGTTACTCGAATTGTTGTTACTTCGGTTGTTGTTGGAAGCTCTTCATTGGAAAAAATATGGAAACCAAAATTAATGATATACTTCCTGTGCAAAACCTTGAAGTCACAATCTGATTACTGGTGTTTATGTTTAAGATACTGTGTTGTCTTGCCAGAGGCACAGCAAGGCGTGAAAAGAAAAAGATTGTTCGACAACTTGTTTGAAATGAAACTTTGGTTTACTTGTAGACGGTGTCTCTGTAGAGATCTTGGTGGTTGTCTCCTTAGTTGTAGATGTCGTCGGCGTAGTGCTGACAGTAGTGGTAGTTGTAATGTGCTCAGTTGTTGACGGCATTGTAGCTGTGGTAGGCACAGTCGTGATCTCTGAAGTCGTTAGATTGGTTGTCGTTGTTTCTGTTGTGGACTCCTCTAATAATAACAATAATAAAAAGAATTTCCATACTTAATTGAAACATGATCAACTATTGTATGTACAACAAAAACTGGATGACTTTGTCCGTTTACAAAAAGACAAAACTTTGATCAAATAAATAATTTCTGGAACTGAAATTTGAAGTAGAAAAAAAATCGATTTTGGGTTGCATCTGATACTGTCTTAATTTGCCTTAAAAAGGAGAGCTTTTAGATATTGAAATACATCAGCTAACCTGTCCTTGTTACAACAGTTGTCCTTTTTGTCGTTGTGGCCTCGGGAGAACTAACTACTATTGTCGTGGTCACTCCCTCTGGAGTAGTTTCCTCAGTCACAAGCTCAGTGGTCGCTGTAGTAGTTTCTTTACATTCAAAGTGTTAAAACAAAATGAACTTTTTTCCAGCAACTAATTGCAAAGAGTTGGATGATGTTTAAATTAAGCCCGATCGTCCTGAAGTCTCCTCCTTTTAAAAGATCAGCTTTGCGAGACTGAAATTGCTCAGCTGTGGAAGTTACTTCATGTTTTGTACGATAATCATGCAGAGAAAAGATGTCCTGATATTTCAACCCCATCCTCGGTTATCATGTAAAGTGCAGTTTTACAGTTGTTAGTCAAAGCAATATAGGCCTACGCAGTCCCATGTCCCACACTAGAGTACCTGTTGTTTGTGTCGTAAACAGAGGAGTGCTAATGGCTTTTGTGGTTCCAGTAGTGGGCGTGGATGTCCGAATAGGAGTGGTTGTTCGGAAAGGCGTGGTGGTCACAATCGGCAATGTTGTCTCAATTGGTGTAGTCGAGACAAGAAGAGTGGTGGTGGACTTTCCCGTTGTTGTCGTTAGTATAGGCGTTGTAGTAATTGGCTGGGTAGTTGTTTCAACAACAATTGTAGTACTAACTGTCGTTGGTACGGTTGCATTTTAAAGGAAAAAGAAAAATGAGCAGTACGGAAATGCGTCTTACACATTTTCACTCGTAATTTTCCTCAGAAACACAGCGTCAAAATAACCTTTCACAATGCCATGTACAAAAACTGACCCAGATGGCTTCACTGTGCAAGTATTTCTTACGCTACATCTTTTTTCAAGCATTTTAAGGTGCACCTCATTTAATTTTTACGGAAGAATTTTATGTGCTGTTTTACGCACACTGACTTACATTATTGTTAATTCTACCATAAGGAAGGAATGGCTTTCGTGTTCCATATTTGGTTTACGACCCCTTTCTCCAGGATGAAGTGTCTTCCTTACTGAACAAGTTGAAATGTGTGCGTGTGGGAGAGAACTTTTTTAGGAAGTGAAAAAACATTACTTGGAAACGTTATTTCACCTCCCTATGGAGAGGGGATGATACTTTTTCATACGGATGAAAAATATGGGCGATTCACAAAAGCAAGCCCCAAAGAGTTTGCGCCGCGCCCTCCAATCACAATGTGCAAAATCTGTCGACCCTATCCAAAGGAGCATTGGGTTGAGAGATTTTGTGCATTGTAATTGGCCAACGCGTTGCAAACTCTTGGACGCGCGCTATTGTGAAACGTCGGTTTTGAATATTCAGACAATTTACACTGTGAAAAAATACATATGTGTGTCTGGAACGTTTGGAATGAAATAAAGTGCTGCACTCTGGGAACGCTAGGGATGGTCTCGATCTCGGCTGATGAAATCGTTAAAGATATAGGAGAACCCTCTGCAAAAAAATACAACAAAAGTAATAGCACCAAAAGGAACAGGAGAATCACAACAGTATTGGCGTCTCTAGGATTGATACCAGAGGAGCAAACCACTTTCTTCCGGGGGGGGGGACATTCAGGGAGGAGTGCTCATTAGCTAAGAACGGGTAAAAGATTAACAGGGGGCATTTTTTTTCTTTTTTAGGAAAATTGGTGATTTCCAACCTCTTTCATTTGTTTTATTTTGCTCATTTTCCCCCATTTTAGTCGTTCTTTTTTCAAAAGGCTTGCCCCTTTGCCCCCTCTGGCCCACCATAGTCAATTCAAGAGCACTACTGCAGAGTTAAACGCTAGTTGTCCGTTCGTGGTTAGGTCTAATATACGAGTTTTACCTTTAGCTGCGGTACAGATGTCGGTGCAGCTCCACACATATGTAATCCGAACATTTTCTGAATCCCCGACAGAAATCTCCTTACACTCGCATTTAGAACATCCATCAGTGAAGGGTGCTGACCCTGGCTGAAAAACAAAGTTACGGCTATATGCTAATTCAAATAAATGATCATTTGAGAATTTCTGTCTTCATTTTAATCGACCTATCCGCATACCTGATTCTACAAAATTACAACAGAGGCAGAAACAAAAACAGTGTCCTGTTTGATGGAAAAAAAACGGAAAAAATGGAAGAAAACGTACATTTGTGTTTTTACATGTGCACTGAGATGCCTTTTAAGGTACTCTTTTCACTTTGAAATATGCTTTAAGAACGCATTTTAGTAACCTTGAATTTGATTTTTCGCTTATTACGTCATATTAAGTTTTCACTCGCAAGTTTTTTATGATCAATCCAATATCCAAATTCCAAGAATAAGCACAGCCTCACGTGGTTGGCACTGAACTTGGATAATTTTGTTATCTTCGTTCTATACCACATGCTAGACAAACGATTGACTTCGTTAAGATGTGAATACAGGAAAGTTGACAGAAACTTTCCAGGAATAGATATTAGAAATAAAAATAACGTTGAACAACAANCCCGTCCATACTTATACTCATTCATTGGAGCTTACACACTGATACAAATCAAACGTTTGGGTAGGCCTACCACTATCAGGTCATTTTTTTCCTAAAGATAGAAAACACGCTAGCTCCTAATGCTCAACAATTGGGTATTTGATCCCATTTTCCTTAAAAGTTGAGAAGGGCAGTACTAGGCCTGTTGGTTAAATTGTATGTGCTGCCCGATGGATGGGTTATGATAATGCACTTTTACATTCTGGTCATGCAACAAGGGCTGCTCTATCCCATGGATTCTCAGATGATACAGTGGTTAAGTTGTCCTTTTTTCTCCAAGTGTCCCTGGCTCACAATTGTAGTTAAATCAATGAAATGAAAATATTATAATTCCAATATAATTGGCATAATGCACCTATTCCAGTTTCACGGAGGAAGTGGGTACGTATGGTCAGATGGTAATACTGATTATTATTTTTATTTTCTTTTTAGGATTATTTATTCTTACATCTGGAAATCCCTCTTCCCCGGATTAAATCATCTCATACAAAATAAAGTCCAAACAAACAGCAGAATATAAATGAATATGTAAAAGCCTCAATTTGTCTTTAAGCCTACATTCATGAACCATATCATATGATGTAATTTACACAGTGATTAAGTTTGTGCTCTTTTCCCTCTTTGTTTACATGGACATGGTGGCACTTGAGTTATTGACAGAGGCAGACATAGAGCAACTCACTCCCAAAATTGGTTTACGGGTCAAGTTTGTTGACAAATGGAGGAAACATGTGAGTTTGTAGTATTCTATTTTGGATTGGAAAATGCTGTATTGTGAATAATGCTGTGCTACAAGTGTTTGAATGAAATATGCGGTGGTGTCAATGGCTTATTCAAGCATTTGAAATACATCCATGGTGTACATTCTGGTACTTCAACAGTTGTTGTATACAGACAAGACGGTTGCCTGGCAAAATTCCAACACCTTTCATCATAAAGGCGCCGCATTTTGGCAGAACACACAGACACTGCAACAGGTGAATATGCCATGCCTCAGAGAACATCTGATTCAGAAAATGAAATGCAGACCGAAGGCGATGAGATGACTTCACGGACTGATGAACCACACGATGGCATTGATGATTGCGCATATGAAGAGGAGTTATTCGAAACTGTTTCATATTTCATAGCAAGTATGAGAGCGTCAAGTATGCCACACTCTAGCATATAAAAAGTGATACATGAAGTTCAAGAGCTAATCAAAGTAATAGTTGATCACATGCACAAAAGGTTTAAATTTACCACACAAGAGGTTCAAAGAACTGTGCAGATAGGAGAAGTGTATGTCAATAACCTTTAAAAGGTGTTGAAGACCGAGTCTAAATTTGTTTTTGGTATTTAAACTGTTAGTAGAAGCTGCATCAATGTTTCAGTTCGCAAGAAAAATGTAAATTTTGTATATTGAAGAAGAGAAGTGTTTGTTTGGTGTTGAAGACGAGCAGATAAAGTTGGGTATTTCATATTTGGAGTAATTGTGCATGTTTCTAAATTAGAAGCAGATATGCTGCATTCGTATTCTAAAAGGTTCTGTTTTGGATTTTGTTTTGTTGTATTTGTGAAAACACAAGATGTACCCTTTCTATGTTGCAGTGTACAAGAAGATATTAAGATCTTCGTAAGGTGTTGAGAAGGAGCAGAACAAAACGGCATTTCCTTTTCTTCTTTTTTATTGAAATATGAAAAAGAGTACATGTTGTTTCTTTTTTTTTCAGATACAACAAAAAGGAACCACAATAGCATGATTATTTTGAACGATGCTGTAGAACCTGCTACCAGAGTAAGGACCCCGTTTAAACTTTAAAGGGTTTCTTATTACTGGTAGCATGTGCTGCTTCTTCATTGTAAACATAATGTGCTGTATTAATTTCTGTTTTCTGTACATGCATTGTAAAAATACAAATGTAGGAGCTTCACTTGCAAGACAAAATGAGGGCCTCTGTATTGTGGTGAAGACTATATTTTGTTCATTTAAGTTTGTGTATACTTATTTTGGTAGCAGATCGATGCTGCATTATCATGTTAAAACGTGCTGTTTTGGTTCTTTATTGTTGTATTTGTTCAAACACTGTACATGCTCTTTTTATGTTTCGTGTTCAAGAAAGAAAGGTCGTTTTTACAGTGTTAAAGCCGAGCAGAAAATGTAGGACATTTCTTATTTTAAGTTTGCGTATGTTTTTAAACTTGTAACAGATGCTGCATTATTGTCTTAAAGGGTGCTGTTTTGGATTTTGTTTTATGTTGTAATTGTAAAACCACAAGATGTTTCATTTACTTTTCTTTGTTTCAACATACAGTCATACAGCATGTGTGAATAAAAACAGGAGGGAGAAACTTTTTTGTCGAGGCCCTTATTTAATCAATAGTTGGATGAATGTTTACTCATTTGATGGTTAGATAGAGCACAGTAATAGCTTTTGAAGGGGATTCGTGCCCAACAAATTGTAAAAGTGAATGAGATTAACCAACAAGTGGTCATACACTGGATACATTTGCTCAACTATTGTATGACTAGATCCCAGTTAATGAGGACTCGTTTCGAATTGTGCCCAACTTATGAGGAAACAAGTAGCCAACAGTTGTGCAACTAATATTACCAAATGCAAGGGAAACATCTAATTACCAAATCTTGGGCATAATATCTCAACCAAGGGTTGGGCAGTTTTAAACAACCAATTATCGAGTGGGTAGTTTGCTTAAATATTTAGGAAAGACATTGACCAACGACCGTTGGGCAAATATTTCCCAATAGATGTACATGTTGACTATTGAACCAATGTTGGGTAATATGTTGGGCATTTTTTTGCCCAATTTTCTAACAGTGTTTTGAACATTCACACAATTCATTCCCATTAACACTGGACTCGACAGGTTGACGCTGATCGAGGTAGGAAGGGTTTACACGGTGGTCAAACCATAAATTTCTTATATGATTTAAAATTTGATTTTTATCGATTGAAACGTGCATGCCAGTATGGAAAAATACATTTAAATGTCTTGTAACATTTGGAATGAAAGAAAGTGTTGCACTCTGGGAACGCAAGGGATAGCCTCGATCTCGGCTGATGAAATGATTAAAGATACAGGGGAACCCTGAGGAAAAAGATACAGACAAGAGTAATAGCACCAAAAGGAACAGGAGAATCACACTAGAGCATTGGCGTCTCCAGGATTGATTCCAAAGAAGCAAACCACTTTCTTCCGGGGGAGGATGGGGGAGGAGCGTTCATCAGCTAAGAACGGGTAAACGATTAACAGAGGGGCAATTTTCTTTCTTTTTAAGGCAAATTGGTGATTTCCAACCCTTTCGTTTGTTTCATTTTGTTCATTTCCCCCATTTTAGTTGGTTTTTTTTTCAAAAGGATTGCCCTTTGCCCCCTCTTGCTTACCGTAGTCAATTAAAGAGCACTACTGCAGAGTTAAACGCTAGTTGTCCCCTCGTGGTTAGGTCTAATCTACGAGTTTTACCTTTTGCTGTGGTACAGATGTCGGTGCAGCTCCACACATATGTAATCCGAACATTTTCTGAATCCCCGACAGAAATCTCCTTACACTCGCATTTAGAACATCCATCAGTGAAGGGTGCTGACCCTGGCTGAAAAACAAAGTTACGGCTATATGCTAATTCAAATAAATGATCATTTGAGAATTTCTGTCTTCATTTTCATCGACCTATCCGGATACCTGATTCTACAAAACTACAACAGAGGCAGAAACAAAAACAGTGTCCTGTTTGATGGAAAAAATGGAAGAAAACGTACATTCGTGCGTTATTGTTGGACATGTGCACTCAGATGCCTTTTAAGGTGCTCTTTTCACTTTGAAATATGCTTTAAGAACGCATTTTAGTAACCTAGAATTTGATTTTTCGCTTATTACGTCATATTAAGTTTGCACTCCCAAATTTTTGATAATCAATCCAATATCCAAATTCGAAGAATAAGCACAGCCTGACGTGGTTGGCATTAAACTTGGATAATTTTGTTATCCTCGTTCTATACCACATGCTAGACAAACGATTGACTTGTATTTATAAAGATATGAATACAGGAAAGTTGACAGAAACTTTCAAGGAATAGATATTAGAAATAAAAATAAGGTTGAACAACACTGAATAGTGAAAGGGCACTGCTTTGACTCCCAGTTCTCTCTTAATAGACTCTGCGTAAGACTCATGGTAGCAAGTACGAATTTGCAGCGGGGAGAACACCAATGGGAGCTGCAGGTAGGCAGGGACTTGACAGTAATACACGTCAAGTGTAATGTTGTCGGGGAAAAAGAAGTAGTGGACTCTTAGGACAAAATTGCATTAGCTCTCTACTCTCATCCGACTGAATGCGATTACTTAAACTAGCCAATTGTACCTCCAAAAGTATTTTTCAATACATGAAGGTGTCAAAATTAAGGTGTGGAATGAAATTACTGCAAGGACGTGATTAAATTAGATAAATTACTTAAATTGTAATGGCATAAGCTAAAATGTCATGGAAAGAGGTGGCACCGAATTGTGTGACCCTTAGAGTACTAAGAATCAGTGAAAAAAAAATGAAACCAATGGAACGTCAAAGACAACCTCGTCAAACATAGCAAAACAGCAACAAAATACCAGAGACAGCACTATACCCTCCAAAACTGAAAATCTCTTACCCAGCATTCTGGCGTCGTCCCAGGCGTCTGTGTGGGACAAAACTCCAGCCACACACACATGTCAGTTTCCCAACTAAATCCCAATACACTCAGGACACTGCCATCAAAGCTGTTACTGTCTCGCAAGTACCCAGGTTGGCAAACACATGTTGTCGGATGTCCATAATCCGGAGCAAAGAAACGGTCACACGAATCTACGGTGGGGAATGGGGGCTCACCAGGGCCGGATGGGTTGTATTCTTGGTCTTTACACGAGATCGACTGGTTTACATGACACTCCGTGCGTTCGACACATTCTAGAAAAAAAAGACACTGATAGTAGACCTCCACTTTTTTAAAAAGTATAGTGTTGCTGCTTCTTGAAAATGTAGCAAAGCAAATAATTAGTTTGACTGGCAGATCTCTGCACATATAATCAGTAGCGTATCCAGGTCTCGGGGCAGGGGCTGCAACGTATTTTGTTTGCGAACACGGCTGTACAAATGTGCTTTCGTGGCAACAAATTCGCCTTCCTTTCACGTTCACCTGAACTGTGAACTGGTATTTACGACAACTGCCAAATGCAGAGAAATTATAAGCAGAAATGTTCTGCAGCAGAAGTCGCTCAAGTTGAATGGAAGAACCAAAATGATACCTTGCAGGAACGGTGTATTGGACAAGTGTCAAAAGATGAAAGATCTTTTCATAATAACTCATTAACTACATTATAACATTCTAACTCATATATGCATTCTCTGTATGAAGGCCAACATGTAAACCAATTCGTTTAACGATTGTAGTAAACTTTGACACAGACATCAACGGAATTGCTGTTTTGACATTTCTCAACACGCCGTTAAATGGGCCTCAGGTGTTTCGTGGCGTCACTGGTCCAGGTTTTTAGCTGTACTATTTTTCCAGAAAAGGTATTAATTTTTTAAAATAAATTTTAAAGAATAAGCCTTTTCTGGGTTCAACTGGAAGCAAAAGTCAGCTTAATTTTTTCGCGTTAAAAAAGGAAAACTGACTTTATTACTTGCTGTAAAAAAAGATGGGGGTGTCTAATGATTGATTATATTTGGGTTAAAAAAAAACAAGGGTTAATGACTTGTAATTTTATACCTGATGATGTCATCAGTTGGTAAACCCTGTTTGGACGCCTTGGGATCAGGGCTGATGTTAATTTCAACTTTCAAGTTTATGCATTTCCCATTTAAAAAATAAAGCAGAGAACTACTGTCTGGAAATACAGAAGAAATATTGAATCGAAAGATTAATAAAACGTTACCGGTTTGAGCCCAGTAGCCTTGAAAACATGAACAAGTGATTGCTCATTCTCTACCTTAGATTGCCATTCCAAACCTGCCATGATGCTGCAGCCCCTCCCCCCCTCTGCGTCTTGATCTGTTCGACATCTTTTATCACAAGGTTATCCACTGTGTATTGGTCCGATCCCCTTATAAATTGTGACTAGATTTTTTCCTGATTGAATATCCCCACTAGCTAAAGGTTGGCCGCTGCCCTAAGCAATGCGCTCGCCACCACCAGCACCCCTTTCCCTTGGTCACGTCATGTCACTTGGCTCTACGATTTCCTATCCAATCAGTTTTCCCTTTTGCCTCACCAACTCTGTATTCATTATCTCGTGGCTTAGGGGAATCTGAACCGTATCCTTTGTCACTACGCGGCAGGGAAATGGGAAGGAGGCGTTGCCACTGCATGAAATAGTTTGGTTGTCTATTCTTAGCTGAGGTTGATCCAGATCCAACGTAGTACCCATCGCAAGCAGAAATTATATCTTGGAAATAGCCTGATGCGTGGTTAAGGACTAAATAATGACCTGAACCTTCACGTAATGTTCCTCTGTCGACAGGTTCACCACTGAACTTCCTCTCACAGTCAAAGGAGTGTCATCGGCCTAGCGAATAATAGTCTACCATAGGTTTCAGGTCAGGTCCCAGGTCAGGTCTTCTGGTCGCTTCTTTTGTTCCAATTCATCCATGGAAATGATTGGTTCGGTTGATCTGCTACATAGTTTGTACTGGATTCTTTTTATTCACAGGTATTCTGGCATTCCTAATTTTACTTCACTTTACTTTGTCTTTTTCTCCCTTTGGGCCTGTCAGTTAATTCCTTCAAAAATGTTCTAAACCACTGCAGCTGTGGCAGGTCTCATTTTCCCTAGCCTGTATGGCTTGCATGCAGTTCGTCGTGTGGTCTTGACTATCCATTTCGCCGCGGGAGCGCCTTGATCAAAGGCTACATTTTCCCAGACTTCCCAGTCCCTTTTATGCTGACCCATTTCTTGTTTTCCACAGTCTTTACGCTACGCGAAGCTGTGGTCCAACACCACATCGGTTTTCAAGGTCGGTCATTTTCACTTGTGGTGCAGTTAACTGTTCAGACAAAGTTTGCGTCTCCCGGATGCATTTCTCTCTTACGACAGATTCCACGTACCATGTACCACATTGGGCTCACTGCCTCTGTCTCTCTGTTTAAACAGAGCCGCCGGTATTGCTCCATCTAAGGACTTCGGGGAGCCCTAAATATTCCAGCTTCCACTTTTGCATGCGTTATGGCATCCTTGAAATGCCCCCTTGTGAGTCTTCCCCACGAATTTCCAAGCACCTGATTGGCCTGCACATTCAGGTTTGACTCAAAGTGATTCGCTCCAAGGAATGTCTCCAGAATATCTGTCTGGAACAAAAACTGTTCTTGCTGCTCCAGGGATCTTCTCATCCCGTGCACCAATCTTCCCTTCTTGGTCTGCCGAGGGCTCCTCTGGATTCCTGCTTTCAATCGTCGCTTGGCGCCGACCCTTTCGGCAGTCCCTCTCTCTTCATCGGCGAAGTAACCTTTGAGAGTTGTTGTTGATTCAAGCCTATCCAAACAGCGTACTTCACGTGCCTGGCACGTGATATCCACTTGGCTCACCTACAATTCTCGTTGTTTTCTGTGCGTAGGGCTACCTCATAATGTCTACTTGAGTTGAAGCTATGTTGATCATTGCTCCCACTGCAGACTGCCAAAATGCTACCACATTGCCCGGGGGATGTCTGCATTCCTGTCGTTAGGGTGCTGAAAACAAGTGGCACACGCGGTGGAACCTTGGCTGTGTTTGAAAGCCCCAACTGACAGTAAAGATTCCTGGTAATGCAGAAGGTCCAACATCCACACCTCTTGTGGAATGCTTTCTTACCCCTGCAGCTCCTCGTAGCCTGAGTTGATGCTTTACTATTGCCCCTGGCATCTGCATGTTGTTCATGGGAGGAGGGGTACTCAGTGGAGTGAATATCGACGATCTTCGGGCTTGTGCTCCCAGATAGCCCACCCATCCACGTTGCAGTGTCCTCTCTTCTCCATCAGCCGTCTATCCTGACAACCCTCCTTGAACAAACCACTACAGATTTCACTGCTGATATCACTGGAGACAGCTGTAGCTTTGTCACTCCCTTGACTGGTTGAAGTATGTTGGTTGCTCCACTTGTTGTACCTCCAACAGTCGCACTGCCTCTTGAGAGAAGTCACTGCCCTGATACTGGGTTACCACTCCTGGGTGGACCTCTTTTACTAAGTGTCTCGCCAGTGCCAGCACTGCTTGCTTTTTCTGCTCCTGTTTGGTTCAGTGTCTTTTTCTTCCTTCAGCCTTGCACTTTACCCTTGAAACCTTCATACTTAAGTTGGTGTAGGCCCAGATCCAACCCCACAACACTGAGACAGTAAGTCAAGAACAGCTGAATCATTCATCATCGGCCATTCCTTCGTGATCTAGAGCACATTCAAATGTTTTTACCACTTTCAGAATCAAGCAATGATTAACGCCATACAAGAAGTGCTAAAAGGGTCAAGATGTATCTTCTTTTCGAAGATATCTGAAAGCTACTCCAAGCTCAAGATTTTACTCCACGGTTGCCAGTCATCTGGAACGTTTGCCACGTACCACTTTCGCCTCAGCAAATACATCTTGTCTTGTTGAAATTCTCTCTGTCTGCACGGGGGTCAAGTGCAAGTCTATGTAATCCAAGACTGGACGCCGTGGCATTGCCGTGCCGAACTTCATTCAAATCAGTGTGGCAATATCACGGCAATACCGTAGTAGTTGCGCTAAACACCAAACTTGAACCGAACTGAATATTTGTTTTGAAATAGGCATTAAGGAGGGGGTATTTTTTCGTTGTCTTTGGGAAAAGAAGGGTAAGGGCAGTTTCAGAGTTTGGGACGGGCATTTTGTACCGTTCAGGATAGTTATAGCCATACACATGAAGTGGATTTAAGACATCAGATGCTTACAACAACAATCCAACATTCTTCACGGGGGGTGTAGTGGATATTGACTAAAATCAGGCAGTATTCAAACAAAATCCCTGAATTTGTTTGAACCTCTTCATTTTCCACCATATGCCATTAAATACACTTTCTTGATCGGAAAAGTTTCTCCATGGTAATTGCTTGCAGAAATTGAACTGACTGTCTGGCTGTTGGAGGTACATAATTGAGGAGCTGGGACGCTCTGCACCATCTCTTATTGGTGTCATTGTGGAAAGTGGACCATGTAAGGACAGGACGTCTGGGGAATCCTATTTTGAAATGGTCCGCGACCTAAATACTTATGTAAGAAAATCATGTTTGAGTAATAAGCTGGTCAGTCAAGGCACATAGACATGCACCCCTTCCATACGGAATGTAAGTTGCGCCTGCTCCCACAGCCCCCGGCCGGCCATGCGCCCCGCGGTACTACCATTGCAGGCTGAGATGTACCTTATCAAAGCTGTCACGAGGCGACACCAACATTTACATTTCCAGAGCAGTGTTCAAGAAATCCAAAACACCGGTGCCGCTTGTAAATTCACACTCTTAGTAAATTTTATTCAGTAGCTAGTCAAACATTGATCTACAACTCCAACGTTAAAAACTCTCCACTGCAATGCTCTTATCCCCGGCGCATTCTCCACCCTATCACCCACCGTTTGTTCATCGGACAAAGGCTTCCCTGTAGATTTTAAAGTATTATCACAAACCTAAAGCATAACGTAGGCCTACCTGTTGTTGAGACTCCAGTCGTTGGTGCTGTGAAGGAATAAGATCATTACATTGTTATTATTTCAAGGTTTGCACACCCATGATAATCTTGGGAAAAAAACAGATTTGGTAATGTGGCCGATGGAAACCATTTTCACACAGGATCCATGTGGATGTTCCGTGGATGAAGGGAAAACGTAAGTATCTCTTCGGGTTAGATTCGTTTCAAATTAAATAATGAGTTGAACATATATTCTCATTCACCGTGGATGTGACAGGTTGACACTGTCTGATCTGGGAATGTTTAAAAAATGTACCAAAGAATTCTGGTCCCACGAAATGTGGAAATGCTCTCGCTCCCTGAATACTATTTAGTTCTGAAGTATAGTTAACTCAGCTGACATTGGTGGTTTTTAGTTGATTTATCTGTGTAACACTTTGAAGTGAATTCCAGGATTTTTAATGTTTATATCGCGAAATATTTATTTTGGTTGTAATGGTAGAATTCTCACAAAACCTTTGATTTGTTTTTCTTTGACGCAAAATAGCAACCGGATAATTACCGGGAGTTGTTGCTTCGGTTGACTTTGTTGTTGAAGTTGGAATGGTGGTTAGTCTAGGTGTTGTGGTGGGTGTTCTAGTGGTTGTTGGCGCAGTTGTTGACGTTTCAGTTGTTGGTTCAGCTGTGGTCGTGGCTTCTAAGAAAACAATTTGGAAATACGATACGTATGGCGTTATACAAAATCTGTCCTATCTAACCTGTCGAATAAGTTACTATGCCCACAGACGCTTTATTATAGTGGTTTGGTTTGCAGGAGGTTGACTGTAAGGGGATTTCTCTAACAAGGTGCATGTCCATTATATCTCCCATTATCTCAAAATATGTGCCCATTTTGTCCACAATTTGACCGAGTAGGATGTTTCCTATGAAGAAGTTTATTTGGTGCACAAATGTTCAGAAATGACACCGTCCCATACAGGGTTGTCAGTAATTTCACTCTACTTTTAAAAATTGTGCGGTTGTTTCAAGGCTGGATCAGGTATATTTGTGGGGGGCACTCTTGGGAGAGGGATGTAGTAAAAGAATGAAATTTACTTGGACAAATTGTAACCTTTTATGACCTCTATGAATGGTCAGCTATATTTGGGGTGTTGGTATTTCGAACAAAAACCTCAGGGCTTATCTACCCGTAGAAATTGCCTGGGTAGTTGCTTCAACAACAGTTGGTACAGTTGCTCTTTTGCAGGAAAAAGAAGAATGAACAGTACAGGAATGGGTCTTACACATTTTCACTCGTAATCATCCTCAGACACACAGCGTCAAAGTAACCTTTTGCAATGTCATGTACAAAAAACTGACGCAGGTGGCTTCACTGTGCAAATATCTCTTACAACTGTATCACTTTTTTAAGCGTTTTAAAACGCACATGATTTCATTTTAGGGAAGATTTTGATTTGCCGTTTTACGCACACTGACTTACGTTACTGTTAATTAATTCTACCATAAGGAAGGAATGACGTACGTGCCCCATATTTGGTTAAAAATCCCTTTTAAAGCGTATTCTTTACTGAATAAGTTGAAATGGTGTCTCATGCGTCCTTGTGTGTGTGGGGGGGGCTTTGCTAGGAAGTGTAAATACATACTAGGGAAACGTCCTTTCACCTCCCTATGGGGAGGGGATACTTTTTCATACGGATGAAAAATACGGGCAATTCACAATAGCAAGCCTCCAAGAGTCTGTAACACGTCCCCCAATCACAATGCGCGAAATCTGTCGAACTTTTCCAAACGTACATTGGGTTGACAGATTTTGCGCATTATAATTAGCCAACGCGCTACAAACTCTTGGTGGTGCGCTATTGTGAAACGCCTGTAAAAAAACTGTTAAAAACTCTGGGCAAAATGGTACTGGGTAAACTTCTTTTGTGAATTGCTGGTTCGTTATTAGTCAACAATTTAGTAACTTTTGGGGTTGGGTAGGCCAGAAAAGTGACCAACGTTGGATAACCTTTCAGGTACAATAGCTGGATAAAAATTCCTTAATTGAGTTAAGGTTTTATTTTTACGCTTGTTTTGCCCACCAAGTGTTGGGGAGAAATTCGAGTAACAAACCCAACAGATTAGTATTATTCGATTGAACTGGATGACGGTGCCTAGTTGCTTTTCATCATGCGCACGCGCTTTGGTGGTCTAATCTATTATGCATGCACAATATCTGTGGTGCATGGCTAACGTTGCATACACATCACGACAATGGCGGCGGACCACGACCTCTTACAGTTGTTAGAGAAATGGGGTTTGAGCCCCTTGATGGGCGTGTTCGTAGGTTAGGATTGTACATTTTATGGATTATCACGATAAGGCCAGAGCGTGTGTGCCTGACTGAAAGCTGATTTAGCACATCTGCTCAATGACATGAATGAGAAAAGGGACATCGGGCTCACACTTACGGCTAGCGGCGTGCAGCCTATGCCTGTGCATTGCGCACGCTGTATATAGGCTAGGCATGAGTGATTGCTGTAGGCCTAGACAGTTAACTGTTT